TGGAGACCCTGGCGCTGGGCTCCATCCGCGGTCCCCGCGCCGAGGTCGGGGTCCCGGCTCGCACGCGGGGCCGAGGGGAAGCGAAAGGAGACCCGGGCGCGGATCGGCGGCCGCCGTGGGGAGAGAAGTCGCGCTTAAGTTTCTCGGAGGTTCCTCTGGTTGCAAAGTCCCTCTTCCTGCCGGTGCGGAGGGCTGTCTCCCCGGTCCTCGGTCCTCGGCCGAAGGAAATGAAGGTGGACCCCGAAGCCAGGCGGCTGCGCCCCGTCTCGGGCATGGAAGGCTTTTATTCCTTGCCCTCATTGTCGGTGTTCCTTCCTCCCATCTGTTGGACTTATTTAACTTTTCTTTAAACAACTGCGGTTTTTAGTGATTTTTAAGTATTAAAAACAAATCTGCGCCTCCCCCTCAATAAAAAGCAACTAAAAAGCTTTTTTGGGGGGTGGGGGGGAGTATCAATTTTTAGATGTAGCCACTTGAAGTCCTCAACCTCCACACCCAAGCGAGGGAGATGAATGAAATGGCGAGCAAAATCTAAATAAAGGTCTTTAGCTTGTAAAGGTTCCCCCGCGTTAAGAAGGAGAGAAGAAAGGGCTCCGCTCCTCTGCTAACTCTCAGCTCACCACGTTGCCGTTTGTCGTTTCTGATTAAGAAAAAAAAAAAAATCAGCCAGGAAAATGGGCCAGATAATATAAGGTATTGAAGGTTTTTTTCTAAAAACAGTGACAACGAAACGTCCCAAAGATGAAAACCCAAGGAGCCCAATAATTTGAACAAATGCCTTAAAAGCATAAGTAGAATTTGGAAAGTTTGTGGAGGAAAAGCGAAGGATTTTCTTGTAGTTTCCACTGAAGGCTTTGGCTCAGAAGCTCATTCTGACTTTCAGGGCAGTGGTCTGCCACGGCTTTACCCAGCTGAATGGGGGAGAGCAGGGATCCAGAATCATTTTAGGGTCAGCCAAAGCCCCATTGCGATCATTTTCTTTTGGAGGCCTGGTGGAGACGCCCCCTCCCCCGGTTGCAAGAGGCATCATTTCAGGCTTTGTAGCGTGTATCAGAAAATGAAGGTGTACTCCTCAGCCTCTCTGAATATCCTGTCAGACTTATTTCCATCATAACTTAGTAGTTAGCATCATAATTAATCACATCGAAGTTTGCTTCAGACATAGGTTCCCCGAACCACCTATTTGAGAATACAGCATGGAGCCCAGTGGAGCTGACAAAGGTGGCAGCCAGAGGGCCTGTTCACCTTCACCTCCAGCTTCTGTCCTGTTCCCTCTCTATCTTGTGCACACGCCCAAATGCAAATAAAAACTCAATCAGGAACCGTTTGCTTTCCTTACTAATGCTTTTTATATTTGGGATGCAGCAATTTGTTTTTATATTTCTTTGAGCCAGTTAGGCTCATTGTAATAAGTAATTCCTAAATCTGCAAGGGTTATTTCAATCTGGTAAAAGGATTTAATTAACCGACTTTTTTAACTGTCAGCTGGAATTTATTTTTTAAGCCATGAATGTAACCTAGCCATTCCAATTAGAATCAAGAGACACTTTATTATTGAAGAATGGTGAAATACTCATATCGCTAAGTTTTTATCTGGGAAATTCATATTCCTAGAAATCTCACTTAATGTTACAGTTTAACAAGACTGTTTCCATCATTTTTGCTTTTATAATCCAGTCTTCTTGATCTGTTTAATGCATATCTTATCTCCCCCCTCCATGCAACAGTTTTTTTGGCAGTTTATTTTTATTAAAAGATAGTATAATACACAATTTTGTTTAAGATTTCAGGAAGGCCTTTGGATTATTTTTTATCACTCCTACAAAATAAGAGGAAACGTCTATCTAGGATTTATTAAACTGTTTATGTATGTATGTATGCACTTCACTTGTTTTGCACATAGAACCTTTTTTTTTTCCTCTTGATCTGTTAATCTTCTGAACCACCCCTACAGTTGGGAGATTAGAATGAAATAAAGGGAAAAGTAGTCAAAATAAAAATATTATATGTCTTCCTGTATCACTTGCTTTAAGAACCAGAACATGGTCCCCAGATGTACATAGAATCTCTCATCTTCAACATAACCTGGAAAAATTAAATTGAATATTTTCTTTGTCTCTAAAAGCCAGAATATGCTGTACCTCAGATTACCCCTCCTTCTATTCTCTATATTTCTTATTTATTCAGCATTCTGTGCTTTGCTTTGTCAAACATGCATCTCTATAAACTGTGAAAAATAAGTGATTTCTTACAAGGATTGAATAGCCAAAACAGCATAAATGTAACATAGCCAGTGTAACTTTAAATGCAGATGCATCTTCACATTATATAATGAGGGTGCTTAATTTTTAATTTTTTAATTTTTCAAGTTCTAGAAATATTTAGTGCTTCCAAAACATTATAGTATTTTTCTCCAAACTGATTTTATGTTTATGTCCCAGAACATTAGTGTATAATTTAAATTGCCTTTGCTCTTGCTGTTTAAACAGGCTTATTTCATTTTCCTCAAGCCAGTGTAATAATGAGCAGACATGGTTTCTAGAAAATGCAAGGGCCTCAAGCCAGTGTAATAATGAGCAGACATGGTTTCTAGAAAATGCAAGGGAAATTATGCTGATGGCATGTACAGTGTGGGGTTTGGGGGCAGGTCAGCTTGCTTTGGTTTTAACACCAAGGTCATCCTGGTTACCATAAGGGACAGGGATCTTGGAGTCATCAGATGAATATTTAAAAATTAATTTCTGGAAGCGCTAATTGACACTTTTTAGTGAGGAAAGGCTTAGCGTTAAATAATGGGCATTTCTGGTTTGTGAAAGGAAATTGAAAAATAGACATGTGTGCAAATATGAAAAAAGTACCATTTCCAAAATAATGATCTGTCAACGAAATTGCAAAATCATTATGTGAGTGAGCTGAATTGCTTTGTGTATCATCTCATAGAAATATGTTTTGCACAGATAATATGTCTAATAAGGACACATTTTTGAAATCAGATTTCCCCTCCAGCAAATAACTGCACTGCAGGTCTCTCTCAGGCAGTCAACTAGCACCACCTAATGGAGGGTTGGGGAAATTGCTGCTTTCCGACTTAGGCTTTTTTTAAACGCAGTAAATTGATTTAGAAAAATAGTAATGATGGTGGTGACTGTATTAATGACAATAATAACACTTTTTTCTCCCTTCTTGTTTTCCAGGCATCAGATGCCAGCTCTGAAAAACTCTTCAATACCGTTATTGTAAACAAAGGTAAGATTAATTCTGAGCTGTGATTTATGTATTTTCATATTTGTGTTCTTGTCATTGCCTAGGAAGAAAGAATAAAAAACAACGGTCTTTTTTTCATTCTGGAACTACTGTTCATATTTAGTGGTTTAGCTTGAGATGGACTCTGTGTTCTTTTGTGGTACATTGCAAACAGTTTATTTTAAAGAATATCTTGAATCCTTATTTCAATTGATTTGAGTAAGAAATCACTACTATGTGACTTTAATGTAATGCAGGATGCGGTAATAGAGAACAATAGTTCTCAAAGCGCCTTAACTTTATTGTTACTTATCAACTGCCCAGCAGTCGGAGATCTATAAATAGCCGATTTGTACTGCAGACTCTAATAACCTGTGGATGTTTATATTCGCAGCATTATGGTCATAAACCAAGCCTTACTCTGCTGTGGGCCTTCTGTAAAGTTAATAAATGAGCAAGAGGGCAAAATTTAAATATGTGCTATCCCTTTAATTTCTTCCAAACCGTAATAAAGTTAGAGAGGCTAACGCTGTAGCCGTACATTAAGGGAAAACGTATCTATTGCGAATAGGTTTCTGAGCAGTTTTCATTGCAGCAGTGTTGCTGGAAATAATGAAATTTAAAGGAGTGTCTACTCACAGGCCTTGCAAAGGTGTATGATTTGAAAGGGATCAATTAGATTTATAATAGAACCAGATACAGATGCTTGCGTGAAAATTGCTAAACGGAGGTGTGCTTTCTGTGGGAATCCCTTCTGTGTTACCTGAAAGAGAGTAGGCAGTGCCTGTGCAGAGTTGGGCCTTCATCAAGTGAAATTTGAAACCACTTCAGCATGCCATCCTTGCCTAGGCTAGCATTTTTTGCTAGCTGGTAAGACACGTTTTCAAGTTCAGTTATTTTGAGCTCACAGATTATTTTAGAATTGGAACCAACTGCAATTTTAAATAGTACATTATGTTTAGAGTTCCCTTGAGATGTATATGCCTATGTGATTGCTATTACTCCCAGAATTATTGTCATATTGAATTTTATCTTTTTTTATTGCATATAATGGAGTGTTCCAGTTTTATATTTCATCATATTTTTTTGATGGACTGAAAGTTTGTGTAAATTTGTTAACCATAATGCTAAAAGCCCAATAAAAGAAGATAGGTGCAGTTCACGGCATACAGTGCTCATATGTAAAAATGCATAATTGTTTATAGCTCATTTTGATGAGGGAGAGGATCAGTAGACAGTGGTGTGTATCTGTGTGAAAGAGGGTGGGGTGGGAGGAGGAGGAGGAGACTGAGGTAGGCCAGGTCACCCAAAGGAGGTCTTCTGTGTTTCAGTGACAACCCGGCCTGGCCCCTCCCAGGACCTCCAGCGCCATGTGACTGTGTCTTACTTTGGCCAGTTTACATAAAGCTTTGGAATGTGTTTCCCCTCTCTGGGACGAGCCCTAGAGTGAGAGTTGGCTCTGAGACCTGCATTCAGGCCTCGCTGCCCTCACCAGGCTGAAAGGCTCAATGGAGAGTGATTGATGAGGAACCCCTCTGCCCCCTCCCTCCTGCTTCTGCCCCCTCCCCCTTTCCCTTTTCCAATCAAACGTTTCCCACATTCTTATTTGTGTTTACTTACAGAGTGTGATTTGTGGCATCTATTTGGTTGTGAATAGTCGCCCCCTGACAGGGTGCCTTTCTTCTGAGCTGCTTTTTCTGGGGTGATTTAGTTGCCTTGAAAGGATTAAGGTTTCTTTGTGTACACTAAAATCAACACAGGCTTTTTCTAAGCTTTGCTTGGGAAACCATACACAAATAAGCATTTTAGTTGATGGCAGATTATTCCTTTGCCCCTTATTTCCATCAAAATGGTCTTTCTTTTCTCCTCCTGAGTTTCCCCTTAATGCCTTATGCTAATTCCTGTTGGTAACATGAATGACAAGAGAGGGAATCAATGCAAATCCAGGTGCTGCAGACAAGACTGACTGGTGTCCAGCACCCACCCCCCTCCCTGGAGAGAAGGAGATTAAGGGGAGCAGGAAAGGAGGGGGGAGGTGGGGACAGTTTTGTTAAGGGGATTAGTATTCAAACTGCTAACCATCAGGAAAACAACTTCAAAAAGAGATTCATTCTGTAGTGACAATGTCAGCCATGGCTTCAGGACAGGTGCAGAGAGCCTCGCCATGTGCTTTTGGGTTTGGGGCTGTTTTCACTCCAGGTAGTGACAGCGTTTACTGGATGGATGGTCCACAGGGCCTTCAAGGAATTGTCAGCTTCATGCACATCAAGTTCAAGTTCTCCTGCAAAGCAGCCTGCCTGCCTACCAGTCAGGTCTCCTGTCTCTGTCCAGTATTCTTAGCCAAGAGCAATAAAAAGCGTTGTAAGAAAAGGGCAAATTTACACCAGGTAACAAACACTACTGGGAATATCTTCAAAGCTTCCAGCTTGCAGTGGAGCTGACACGTGTATTTCTCCACCTTCAGATGTTTAAAGCTACATATCACCTCTCTGGCTCAGAGTTCTACAGTGCTCCACCCTAGAGAAGCCTGGCTCTAAACTGGTGCTGCGATTATGCCGATTATGCCGCTGAGCCCAGTGGCAGCAGATTTGGGCCATAAAATGCCACTGTGGGGGGGGCAGTGTTAATCTCACAAACTGATTATGGTTGGGGCCTGGGGGGCAGCTGTGATGTTGGGATGGAGCTCCAAGCTGAAGCAGCAGGCCATGGCTCAAGTCCTGTCCATCTATTTGTGAGCCCGAATAAGTCAGGCAGCCTCTATAGGTCAGAATTTCCAACCATGGCAAAAGCTCCCAGTCTTGCTAGGGCCTGAGTTCTCTGGTGGGGATGTTTTCTAACATTTAGTTGGGAAGTGGGGAGGGGCTGAAAAAGAGTAGGTCCGATGGATGGGTTTTCTGTCACTTCTGCCCATTGAATTTATGTTGATGTTCTCTGTTGTAGAGTCCATCCAATTTAATGGAGAACTGGTAAGAGTTTTGTGTTTAGGTGTTCCAAATCGTTGCTTTCTTCTGATGCCTTTTATTTCCCATTTTTAAAGCAAACGAATTGAGCAGTGCGTGCTTGCACGTGCCCACACCATTCCAGTGAGAACTGAGCATGTCCAAAGAGGTGGGAAGATGAGCCTCCAGATTGCAGGGCTTAGGGGTGTAGACATTAAAAAAAAAGTTTTACTTTAATCAAGGTCATGGTTGCCTTATTTAATCAGAGTGTGTTTAAATGTTTACAGGATGTTCATGTGAATTTTATGAATCCTTCTGTCTTTGTGACTCACCCATCTGCCATAGGAAAACTTAATTTTCTCAGTGAGACAGAAACACACAGAGAAAGACTTCTTTCTTGTCCATGTTTAGTTGGTTGAACTGCTATGGAAGCAACAGGACTTACACTCACAATTCTGGAGTATTTCTCCTGAAAAGGAACTCCCCGGCAATTCAGTATGGCCAGCCAGCGTGTATTATTACCCTTTCTCACCTACCGGAGGGCCTACTTGGCAGTTTTTGCCACTTTTGATATATAGACGGGAATGCAGAAAGTGAGTCCTTTGCTGCCTGTGACCATCCTGCCAAGATAGTTCATCTCCTTTAAACTCTGACATTGCTTCAGAGCAGAGCTCCCCGAGGAGGACGGGAAAGAAGGGCAGCCCTACCTGGGAGGAAGGAGAATAGTCTCTGGAGTCCTCTGTCTATGGACCAGCTCAGGTGTGGGCTCATGCTCTAGGTTAGGGGGAAGGAAAAGGCCCCTTCTTGCCACAGAGCCCTCTTGTCCAGAATCTGTCCTGCAGGCCTGGGAGTTACAGAGGAGAGGTGGCCGAGAGGTGTATTTCACACCAGGCCTTTCTCACCCCTTCTTTACCTTCCCCTGTGTCTCACAGAGTAGCCTTGGGCCCTCCTGAGTGAGCTGTTAGAGCAGCGGTTCTCAACCCGTGGGTCGCAACCCCTTTGGGGGTCGAACAACCCTTTCACAGGGGTCGCCTAAGACCATCGGAAAACACATATATAATTACATATTGTGTTTGTGATTAATCACTATGCTTTAATTATGTTCAATTTGTAACAATGAAAATACATCCTGCATATCAGATATTTACATTACGATTCATAACAGTAGCAAAATTACAGTTCTGAAGTAGCAACGAAAATAATTTTATGGTTGGGGGGTCACCACAACATGAGGAACTGTATTAAAGGGTCGCGGCATTAGGAAGGTTGAGAACCACTGTGTTAGAGAGCTGAAGCACTGAGGTGGGAATGACCCAGGGAGGGAGGGAGCCCCTGGTTTGTCCTCCCCCCCCCCCCCCCGCACTTCGAGTACCAGTGTCTACTGTGATGTGAATAGCTAAGGAGCACCACCCACCCTCCTGGTCAGCCATGGGGGAGCTCTGGTGGACACTCACCATGGTGAGTACCAGATGGGGCACGGGGACCACCTGGAGCTCACTCTCACCAGGATGGTTTTTCCCTTTCCAGGCCCTACCAGGCCTGCAGGTGGACGCACCTGGCCTCTTCTTGGGGTCATTTTGTGCTGAGGGGGTCCATAGGATGAGGTCAGAGCCTTTACGTTAGTGGGGATTTCGGTTGTTTCTGACAGTATGCTTTTATCAGCAGCATGGAAAGAAAACCAGGCTAAAAAATTGCTTGAGATTTGAGGAGAGCAGGTGAGAGACATGTTACTAGAGATACACCTGCTTGGTGTGATGAGGTTCAGTAACTGGGTACTTAATAAATTCTTTAATGAAGATGATCTCACCTCATTTATTAGGTTTAGACATGAAGAGGGAACCCCTTATTTTGGTGACCAAAAAGCTGAGTTATATTACCACCAAGGCCACCATGGAGCTTAAGAAAAACCCTCCCCTAAAATAATTCTGTGCTTTCGATGTAAGTGAAAGTAATGGAGTTGTTGAGTATGGGATAGCTCTCTTTTAAAATTTCTTTTTAATTTAAAGTTCAAAACCCCATCATAATGCACATATAGAGACCATTTTACAATTCCTCCTCGTGTCTTGGTTTGGTTGTGAGGGGGGCCTTACGTCAAGCACATTCCGCATGTGCAGAAGAGTCCATTGCAGCCTCTGTAAATTGGCTGCATTTTTGTAATGTCTTAAGTCCTAGATAAGGGGAACTTGGACTATTATTCATTCTTTAATTTTCTTTCTCTAGACCTTTTTATTTTGTATCTTGTGGGGGCACTTGGGGGTCTTCAGGAGATAGAGACCTCTGATGTGTGGAGAATTAAATACTATTGCAGGGTAATTGGTCCTTGATGGGAGACAAAGAAGCTAGAGTACTTGAGTTCCTCCTCCTAGCGCACTGCAAATAGCAAGCAATCAGCTCCTTTTCTTATGGAAATTGACCTTTCTATAGAAATTGCGCTCTGACGTACCAAATCGGTTGTATAGAATTATTCCCTGAGAATTCTTAGGAGCAGATGCCTTGTACTGTTAGTGTGAAGCCACCGTTAAGGGTCTAAAAATATCCCAGGTTGTGAGAAAGTGTTTCCCTCTAATGTTTTCATCAGCTGCGACTTGGTCTTTCCCTGACCTTATGGATTATTGTGGGGGGGAAACCCTGGGTACATATTGGACCCCATGCCTGGAATTGTGATGGTGAAAGTGAATGTTTGGAAGAGGGTGGAAGATTTTTCTGAACATTCACATCGCTCTTGATGGTGTCTTTTGAGTAGAACCTTGACCGTGATGTCACCTTTCCAGGTAAAACTTAGGCCAGACCAGCAGGAGCAGATCACAATGTAGCAAACTCCTTCCAGTGACATAAGCCAACATGATTTTTACTTTTGAGCCCAGGGACCAAGCTCTTCGCTTATTCTGTTGAAAGTCTTCTCTCCATGCTTGGCAATATTAGCTAGAAGGCTTGAAGCCCTTCATATTCAGGGTTTTGTTTGGTTAAACAAAATGACTTAGTATTTGGTTGTCTCAGAAGGTAATACACACTCATAGGAGACAGCTGGAATGAAAACCTCAGATCGGTTCTGGAGAGCCTTTAATGCAGTGGTTCTCAACCTTCCTAATGCCGAGACCCTTTAATGCAGCTCCTTGTGTTGTGGTGACCCCCAACCATAAAATTATTTACGTTGCTACTTCATAACTGTAATTTTGCTACTGTTATGAATCGTAATGTAAATATCTGATATGCAGGATGTATTTTCATTGTTACAGATTGAACATAATTAAAGCATAGTGATTAATCACAAACACAATATGTAATTATATATGTGTTTTCCGATGGTCTTAGGCGACCCCTGTGAAAGGGTCGTTTGACCCCCAAAGGGGTCACGACCCACAGGTTGAGAACCGCTGCTTTAATGGGCCCTGCTAAGTGACGAAGGGCCTCCTCACCGGTGACGCCAGGCCGGGAGGGTTTCCTGCACGGAGGAAGCTGGGGCTGCCATGGCCTCTGGATCATTTCTCGTTTCTGACAACTGCAGGAAAATGTTGTTTTCTCTGAAAATGTATGTTTATTTAACTAGGTTTCTTTTTGCTTCACAATCTGGATTCCATTCCGTCAGTTACCACTCCAATTAACTAACAATTATTTAACATTAACAGTAATTACAGACGCCAGTTAAGCGCCTACAGATGTCAACTGTTAGCTTTGTACCTAATCACTCAATGAAATGGAGAAAGTTCAACAAACATCAATTAGCCAAGCAATTAGTATGAGTTAGGAAAGAGCATGTTATCATGTGTGAGCTGATTCAATTTATTTTATTTTGGCAGTAAAACACACACAGGCAAGCGGCAATAAGTTCCTCAGATAAGATAAAACACTATTGTTTTGCAGCTTACAGGAGAATTCTCTGCTTTCCTGTGCATAAGTCAAACATGCTCTTGCCTGGAATTTATTTAACGATCAAAATTTGTCTCAGTTGCTCAGAAAGCCCAGCAATGCTCAGTCTCAGGCAGCAGCTTCGGTGAATTAGGAATCCAGTGGAGATGCTGTAAAAGGGAAATGCCAGAAAATTTCAGCAGAGAAATGATTGATTCCCACACAAGTAATCTCCGAGCGTTTTGGATTTTTACCGGTTTATTCCTGAACCTGTGGTGGAGCCGGTGCAACAGTGATTTTATGAATTTCATGGTGCCTGAACTTTTGCTCAGCTGTCTTTGATTTTAGCCTGGGGCAGCCATCAACGTGTTTTACCACTTGCCCAATCTGTGCTTTAAAAAAGCAGAAATGGCTCTCTGTGAAAGACCCTCTTAGTGGGCTCACCAAGGGGATCTGGCCTGAATTCAGAGTTCTGTGCTGCTCCCCCGTAACCCATCCCACCCCATAGACCTGACTTCCGTGGGTGGCTGAGCATGCCTGGGCTCACTGGGAGAGTGCATTCTAAGGCCTGATTATGCAGGGTGGCCATACATTAGTATTTGGAGGTTCATTTTACCTGCAAGTGAAATGCTGGCTATAGGTGGCTATACCTCTGGATCCCCTCCTAGAAGTAAGATTTCTTGCCAAGTCCAGAACCCATGGATATGAGTGGAAGGAGCCCAGGTTTGTGAGGCACCCCATCAGTTCACTGTGATGTGATGTGCAGAAGTGTCCATGCGAGCAAGCCTCTCAGCAGCTCGAGGAGTTGAAGAAGAAACATCCTGCCACTGGTATGGCGCGGTGAAGAGCCCATGTCCTGTGGGCGTCCCCGTTGTGCCCCTTCGGTGGGAGTCAGCAGTACCACCCAGGTGGACGGTCCCGGCTGGCTCCTGAGAAGCGTGTTTGCCTTCGGCAGCAGTTCAGGGTCTCTGTCTGTCCCCTGTTGCACATTGTGCCGCAGAGGCTGTGACAACCTATCATGATAGGTCAGCTATGGACCCGCTGCAGGCCTTGTCTTTACTCTGGGACCAGCTCTGGGCTGCCCCCATCCTGGTAGTTATCTTGGCAGAGGGAGAAGAGCAGGTCAGAACCGTAGAAGGGCCTCTTCAAGTCTCAGCTTGGAGGTGGTAGGCGGCATGTCTAACCATCTCACGGCCAGAACAAGACCCTGGGGCTTTCCCCGAGGTATTTTATGATCCCTGGAGTTTGGGAAGAACTTTTCTTGATGGTGGTGGGTCTCAGCCAGGACTTCTGGCATCCCAGAAGGTCCACCATTATCTGAGGAGGTGTGGCCAAAATTGCCATGGTTACTGCATCAACTTCAGGCATCTCTGATTTTCTCACCTTCTAATAAGGTCATGTATCTCCATATTTCTATTCTCCATGCCCATTCCTGTGCCTGTGAGTGGACTGATCTTTAATTTTCAGCCAGAGTTTATTAGAAGTGACTTAGAATTTTCAAACGGGAGCATTTCCTTAGCAACTGGTGATGTAAGCCTGAGGCCCAGTTCTATGCTGAGATGGGAGGGGTCTGTTAATAATGAGCCGTGTTCTGTGGGCCCTCCAATCCTCTCTGACCCTCGTAAACCTTGTCTTATAAAGGAAGGGGTTGAGAGCACATCATTGCTTTTCTAAGAGTCCTTTTGAAGAGGGAAATGTCTCAAGTGTGCCTGTTAATAGACTGATGTGGGAGGTGGTTATATTTGGATGCCTTTAAAAGCCACTTGGAAAACATTTCCCCCCTCTTATCTATCACCTTTCACATCTCTCAGCAGAGTAACACTAAAACCTAATTTTAGCCAACATTACATCATTTTCTCATTATCTGTTTATAGCCAGGGAAGGCTTTTCCATAGTAAAACCCAGAATGACCAACCATGCAATTCCTCTTTTTATATCAATTGCGGGTGCTCCAAGTGTGGCCTGCCCTCCGCTGGGCTTCTTGGTTTGATAAACTCTTAGGACCTCTTTATCCGTCAACTGTATCCATAAACTTTGGTTTGACAAGGAGTCTTCTGAAATCAGCTTTGTCATCTGCTAAGTAAAGGATGTCAATGCTTATTCCGTTTGTTCCTTCAGTGAGTGTAAAGTGGAGGCCATGTTGAAATTACTCTTCATTCAACAGATATGGTCAGGCACTGAGTACGTAACAGGCTCAGGACATACAGCAGTGGACAGAACACATTAAACATACAACCAGAAATTAAGGGTTTAAACTCAGAAAGAGACATTTCAGTGGTGTAATGGGAAAGAAGTCACTGACTGTTTTGTTTTGTTTTTAATGGCTTTAGGACTTTGTTAGGAGGAGAGTTGATGTCAGGTGAGCCCCTGTGGATCAGCAAAACAGAAACAGACCAGATCCCAGGAGGCTGCCACGGGTGTCACCCTTTCTGAGAGCCACGACATTTATTTGCCAACTTGTGCTCACTGTTAGACTCACACCTACCCCTTTGAGCTTCTCATTTGAAGAACTGATATTTTTGTTAAATTGGTTACTTAAGCTAATGAAAATATTTGGGGGCCACTGTAAAGTTCTGTGCATTGCCTATCAGTAGGACCCCCTTTTTTCATGTTTCCCCAGTTAGACTTGTTTGCTTAAACGTGTGTCAGGTTGGCATACCACCAGGAGGCGATGGCATGTGGCACAGTGAGCGCGGCGTTTAGTAACCGAAGACCAGGCTTGAGTCCAAGCGGGCCACCTGTGGCCACCGGCAGCTCACCCCACTGAACCTGTTTTTCTCTTTGGTTATGTTGGAAAGTTGGAGGGACTCCAAAATCCATCAAGGTCTAAAGGCCAGAGTTTGCTTTTTTTTGAGTGTTGTCGGTCCTGTTAGAGCCTGAAGCTTGTGCAGAGGCCTGCATTTTCCTAGACAGCTGAGAGCAAGGCTGTGAGCACTTGCTTATGCAAGGGGTGGTGCTTGGGGCCAGTGCTGACTTCAGTCCTGGACTTGGTGAGCAAGAAAGGGCTGTAGAAGCCCCTCTGCTGTGCAGGAACTTCCGTCTCTGTAAGAAAGATCCTGGAGGTAAGAGGGGGCTGAGTCCCAGAGGTGGGGGGAAGAGGAGGAGAGAATCAGGTTCTACAATTTGAATGTCCATCCGATGAGGTAAGAACCTCCAGAATAAGAATAACAATGCAGAGTCCTTCTCTGCTGGTCTGCATTTTGAAAGGTGTTTTATCTGCTTCATGAATGTCTATAAAGCCCCACGGTATAAAGCACTTGGGTGCTGGCTCCTTTGTACTTGACCGAAGTGGAATGACTGACCACTTCCCTCAGGGGTTTTGCTACAGGTTAGATACAGGAGGAGGCAGGGGCCAGACTCTCAGAGCAAGGCCCTGCTTTAGAGCATCCAGGGGCAAGCGGCCAGCTAGCTTCCTTTTCCATGAAGTGACTCATTTTACCAAGGTGAATGGAAGTGTGGCCTGGGTGGACCATTCTAGATAATGTAGGGAATGTCGCCACCTCGCCATCCATCTTCCTCTGTCAGCAGACTCCTTCACCAGGCAATTCATCAGACCGCTGCTTCTTCCAGGGTTAATCCAGGCCTTCTTGACTGAAGCAATTTACTCCCTACTTTGCCTTTTGCCAGAAGGTAGTTGACTTCGTTGTCACGATACCACACTTGCTGTGCGCTGGATTTTAGCGTTATTCGCAGCCTTCTCGTATATGTTGGAGAAAGGTGGGTTTTAGAGTAAAAAAAAGAGATGATACTTTGAGCATCCAGGTGTTCCGTAAGCGGTGGCACAAACTACAATTGTGAATGGATTTAAGGAAGAGCCAGGTTAACTTTATTGTTGCCAAATCCATTGTGTGTTATTTAGGGGAATTGGGTTTGTCAACTGCCTCTCTCTCTTTCTGGAACTGAGAGCTGCAGACAGGAAGAGTGTCACTGACGAGACACTAAGCATTTTAGAGGCAGAATCCTGGATTAGATGCAGGGGCACAGGTGCTGTGTGCTTTGGTCGAATATTAGCTTATAAATTTTGTGGGGGTTCTTTTTGGGTTTTGTTTTTGTTTTTTTGGTGTGTGTTTTTTGTTGCTGTTTTTTGCACTTGTCTGTAGGGGCCACATTGCCCTGTATAATGGCCTCTTCCCGAGCTGTTAGACATCAGATCAGTTTGATTTTCGACTCCCAGGGAAGTGGAAACTCCTGACCAGTAGTCAGGCTGGGGATACCTGGCTAGAGGATGGCTCTCCAGTGCCAATCTGGCCTCACCGACCGTGGGTAATTGATATGTGCCCGAATGGCCATTACCCCTGCTGGGCCGGGGCCTCACCCCCAGAGCACACCTCCATCAGGCTGGGGCTAGGTTTAGCCACTTTCCTCCTCCGGGCCCTTGGGTTGAGCAGATGGCTCCTGCTCCTCCTCCTTCCCTGTGAGCTCCAGGACAAACTTGAAAACTGCCTACGCGGAGGGATTGTCTGGCATTTTAAAAGTTAAGGCTGACTTTCGGAGCCTTCTCAGCATCCTGCCAGGTATCTTATCTTATTCAAATACCCTAATTGCTACTCAGGCTTCTCACTGCACATCATCCTAGCACCCAACTGACAAAATAGACCTTCACCTGAGGGCCTCATTATGCTTTCTGCCTGTGCATCAGGCCAAAAATACCTCCACAATACCCGCCCGACATCCTGGGCTTGCAAGTGACAAACAAATAATTGGGTGAAACAAACCCTGGGCGCCGAGCAGCTGCCATCGGTGTCGGAGCACAGAGGAGTCCCCGGCAATAACAGTCACGGCGCTGCCTGCTTCGTGTCAGAGCAAATCTTTGAACAGTGGGTTTGCTGACACCAGAGAATGACAGCCTTGGAAATGGCATGCTAGTTACTGCTGCGAGTGAGGCCTCTCATGTAGATCGTGACAAGCAGCTGTCATTTCCACACAGGTGAGCAACTGACATCCTAGAATGGGGAGGGCTGGGGGGAGGCAGGGGGCCATGTTTGGCGGGCAGGTAAGGCTGCACTGTGGAGAGGAGTCTCAGGTACTGGTGACCATTTGCACTGTGGCACAAGCTGGCCTTAACACACACACACACACACACACACACACCTGTCTTAAATTTCTTTAGAACTCATCTGAGACCCAGCTGCAGATATACGGTGTCAGCTTTTTGAGGCTGGGCTGAGGCCATGGTGCCCGTCCAGTGCCCAGCACAGCAGGCTTACAGAATTCACTTAAAGAATCTTTCAGTTCCACTCTGGGCCCTCCTCATCTTCGTGATGTGTCATGGATTTGGTTTCTGGGGCCAGTACTTCGTTTTAGTGAAAAAGGCCAAGTCTCTGCTGGTAAGAACTCACCACTAATAGGAATGGATCACCTGGAATTCAGGTGCAGGGTCGAGTCCAGACTAGGGCTTCTCACAGTGTGGTCCCTGGACCAGCAAGACCAGCATCCCGTGAGGAGCTGTTGTCAGATGTGTAAAATCCACTGAATCGGACACTCTGGGGTGTGGCCCAGCAGTCTGCCTTGAACAAGCCTTCCAGGTGATTCTGATGCAGATGACCACAGGTCTAGGTGCAAGGAAGGACATTTGGACAGCGGGGTTTTTGTAAATGCTCAAATGATACATGGATCACTCGGTGAAATCCAGACTCCCTAGCAAATAGGGAGAAAGCCTGATCATTGTCCAGCATGTTTTTACTTACTTATTTTCAATATCAGGTGCACCGGAGCTGTTGAAAGTAGCACTGTGGACCCACCACTGGACTCAGTTGCCCCTCGCCCTGGATTCCTGTCCTTCCACTCTCTTCCCTGGTGCACAGGCCTCCTCATGTCCAGGAGGCTGGCCGATACCAGGCCTGTGTTTAGGGCTGTATTATAAAGCAAAGCTATCTGTCCTAAATGGAGTTTGCAACCATGACCTTGGGCCAGTGTTATACTGTAACCAGCCAAGCTAACTTGCTCAACCGCTTCTCAAAGACAAACTGCTCTGTTCAGTTCCTGGTTGGCAGATGCTGCCTCACCAGTGCCCGCCTGCCATCTGTATGCGGGGTTATCCCAGCACAGAGCACACCTACAGAGCAAGTGTGCTGTGGCTACTAGGAACTATTTGGTAACCAAAGTACTGTGTAGATTCCTTATTCAACCGCAGTTGCCAGGATTGTAGAATAATGGATGGCAATGTTTTAAAATATTTTCTCTTCTATGCAAAATACTATGAAGTGCTAAGGCTATAAAATTAAACCGGAGCTGGGTTTTTCCAAAAATTGACATTTTCTAAGATGTTTCATCAAGTTCACCTGAATATTAAAGCTTTCTTAGGTGTTCCTCAATTATAGACATCCCCCCAAATGGGGTGTCAAACTTTCGCCTGCATCAGAATGCTCTGGGCGGCTTGCTAACACACAGGTTGCTGGGTCCCACCACCTTGAGGCTCAGGACCTTGCATTCCAACCGTTAACCAGTGGGTGCCAATGCTTCTGGTCCTGGGGGCACATTCAGGGACTCGTAGTGTGTTGAGGCTTTCCAAGTGTAAGTGCTTTCTCCAACAGTGAATATCTGAATTGAGAATCAGCTCAAAGGCTTAGCAAGTGTGTCTTTACATGTGACGTGAAATTTGCATATGAAAGTGAATTCCGTTTCCTAATGGATCCACATCAGGAGCTTTTTAAAACATGAAAATTGTCCAAATTAATTAAACATAGAGAACATTAGAATGAACCCTCGTGTGTACCCATTATCCAGATTCATATTTATCAGGATTTGCCACAGATGTTTGTAGGTGAAAGGATAGATGGGGTGATTTCTCTTCTCTTTATTGCTGATTTTATAGCACATGGCATTTCACCCCTACTTACTTCTGTGTACATCTATTTTTTAAAGTTTATTCCTGTATAACCACATGCTGTTATCAGCCTGACAAAATATAAAATAATTCCTCAGCATCCTCCGATTCCCATCTGTAGTCTCATCGCCCCGATTGTCTCCCAGGTGCCACTTTACACAGTTTATTCCCGTTCGATTCACCCCAGGGTCACGGATCAGTTACTTTAATCAGGAGCTTTCCACACTCTCCCGGCCTCCTATTCTCAAGCCAGTGGCTTGTTGCAGAAACCAGGTCATCTGTTCCACATGCCGGAAGCAAGCCCTTGTGGTGTCATTTAGTTTATTCCTCTGCCCCTCACATGTCCTACAATGGGAACTGGGCCCAAGAGCCTGGACTAGATTCAAGTTAGACTTTTTGGCGAGAAAACACCATAGACGTTGCAGGAAGCGTTGTGCTGCCTCCCATTCGGGGGCCCACGATGTCTGGGGGTCTCAGTTTTGGTGATGCCAAGATTGTTCAGTGAGGTCAGGCTGTGACAGACTGACGCCCGCATTGTCAAGTTCCCCATCCACTTTCCTCCAGTGGTTTCACCCACTGAGGATAGTTGCCCAAGGAAGTATTTCATCAGGGACGGCAAAAGGGTGACGTTGCTACCTTCCCTCCACATTTGTCGGCCGAAAGAAATTCTTCTGTACGACAGTTTTCCCTCATCAATTAGAGCGCTTTCGTTGTCCTCAGATACAATTACGGGAAAAGCAAGACAAATGTTTATTTTTTTCTTTTAACTGCAACTTATAGAGCAAGAAGTTGTTACCCTTCTAGGAATTGTATTACTATTTCTAAAACCCTTCTCTGTTTGCATTTTCCTTACAGTAGATCTAACCCATGCTTTTAATTTTTTGAACCTTTTCTTAAGTGGTTTGTGTTTATCAATGGAAGGGCCAACATATCTAAAAATGAGAATGCTGTCTGAAAGAGCACCGTCAAATGGGTTCAGACACACGTGTGTGTGAATTTAAAGTTACGCCTGTCCTTCACAGCTCTGCTCGAAGGCCACGTCCTGCAGGCAGCCTTCCATCTGCCCATAATGTGAACGCTCCTGCAGGCTGCCTTTCCTACTAGAGCAATAGATGCTGCTGTCTTACCCTCTTCTCTGAATTCTTCCCTCATCTTTCCCACGGTGACCAGCAGGGCGCTTTGCACGAAATAGGGGTTCAGCTTCTGTTTATTGGACATCCTGAAAGCTATTTCAAATCTTCAAATGTACGTTATAACTGGAGTGACCAAGTGACTTGATCAAAGCAGACTTGGAAAAGATTGAATGTTACTTGATCTTATCAACTCATTTGGCATCATGAGATGGTCTGATGATCCCAACCGGTCCTTTTTCAGGAAGCGACCGGGAGGCTGTCCACGCGTATTGAGTGCCTGCAGTGTGCCAGGGGTTTTCGTGTTTGTTTAACTCAGACTGTGGCCCAGCCAAATAGGTGTTTTGCATGTGAGAAAACAATTCACGTGGGAAATAACAGCCAGTTCTTGTGTCCCAGTCTCCCAGGCTCCTGCTCTTCCTACCTGTGCCAGCCCAGCCTGCAGGGGTGGGGGCTATTGTTTGGTGAATTGAAAAATACCTCCTGTCGACATCACAGTTTCCCGTTCAGCCTGAACTGTTTGCAGGATATTTAGGTAAAAGTACTGATCATGCAGCTCTAGCCTGGGAAACTTGAGGGAGAGCGGAGTGAGGGACACCCACACTTTCAGCATATGTCAGATATATTTAGCCACTTAATTTAATGGAAGACTTAGTGTGATATTTAAACTTAACCTCCCACAAAAGTAGATTTTATGTATTTATAGAACTGGAGCATTATATTGCTGATTAATTAAAAATTAAACTGGAAAAGCTGTAAAGGAATTTCAAGTGATGGGACAGCAGTTATAACTGGAGATCTTGGTGAAGTTATTAACATTTTTATTGTTTAGAACTAATCACTTAATTTGGGAGTGGTGGTAAGGAGAGATTTATTGGTCGAGAAGGCCTCACTCAAGTAGATGGGAGAATTAATTCTCAAAGCCATGGTAAGAGAGCCCAAAATTCAGGCATCTACATACCCAGGGAAGGGAGAGTGGATGAGGCAAGAGGGTGGTGGGGACTGTAGACAGCCAGGCACCCAAAAGGGGTCCAAGGAAAAGTGGAAATTTCTGAAGTACCTTTTGGAGGTGTGTCTGTGTGGATGTGGCAGGGAGAGAAGGGTTTCCAGTGGGCTAGCACTCAGAGTAAGCTTGTTTTTTTTTTTTTCCTCTTTTCTTTTCTATTTCTTTTTCATTTTTTCTTATAAAGCCAAATAGCCCAACCCATGTTGAGTTTTCTGATAGCCAAAGTTCAAGGAATCCCTGACATTCATCCATGTTTTCTGGAGCCTCAAGCCCTCGCCCAGCCCACTCCTACTTATGCTCACCTTTGGCTCTCTGTGGGCAGGAATGCCTTTTGAGTCAGAGCATCATGGTTAAGCTCTTTTATTCTTTAAAAAATGCTGCACAGAGCTATTAGAGCCCTGGCATGCAGGGTTTTCCAAGGCACTCACCAACACTCACCCTCCGAGCCTTCTGTTCCACCCCCTTGCCAACCACGGTGACTATGCAGTCATCTCACTTCCTCCATTCCTGCCCCCGGGCTGCTGCGTGTCCTGGAGGACAGCAGGTGACTGGGCTGATGGTCTTGTGTACATTTGTGCTCCAGCCTCCTCTGAACTCTGGAAGCATCCCGCCATCCTCCCTGCCCACTGCCCCCCCCCCCCCCACCACCACCATTCCCTCCTTCACCACCATTCCCTCCTTCATTCCTTGACTGACTAGAGTAACTGCCCTGGGCCCCCTCCTACCTCAGCTCCCCACCCCACCTGAGGCCTGTCTGGAGGACTGAGCCTCTGTTGGGGAACAGCGTCAGTTTCCTCCTCCAGACCTAGGAGGTCTCCTCCTCTTGACCAGGAGGGAGCTGGCTCCTTTGCCTTCTTCCCTGGCCACCTCCTAGTCAGTCAGTCTGACTCTCCCACCCTTGCTCGGCCCCAGTCTTTCCTTTCCAACTGGCTTTTTATTTCCTTGTCTCTCTTAATACCCTTAGATTAAAAAGCAAACAGCACTTAATGGGAAATTATAAACAGCAGCTCTAGCCCTGCTTCTTTAGGAATTTGAACAAATAAACCCTTTTTGGTATCTTTCTCTCATCCCCCCTTCCTGTAAAATACCTGGTGTTTGCATATCTTCTGAGTGGTAATTAAGGTGACCATATTACTTACTGTCCAGACCAGGGCACTTGAAAGAGAAGCAGACGACTATAATAATTACTTTGGGCCCTATCTGTGTAGCTCCGTTGTTGTCCCAAAAAGATTAAAAAAAACAAGCTTACTCTGAGTGCTATCCCATTGGAAATTCTTCTTCTCTCCCTGCCACATACACACAGGCACACCACCAAAAGGTACTTCAGAAATACACCAAAGTTGTGGATTCGATCCCCAGTCAGGGCACATACAAGGATCAGCCAGTGAATACATAAATAAGTGCAACAACCAATCAATCTCTCTCTCCTCCCTCCCTCTCTTCCTCTCTAAAAGCAATCCATCAATAAAAAAAAAAATAATAATTGCTTTGGGACAACAGATTTAAACTTGGATTGGCCATATGCTCACCCTAGTGATAGTCCAAGTTCTTTCACAGTTTGTTGATGTGCCTCAAATCACTAGCGATAGGAGCTAACATTGACTGAGTCCTTAGCTATGAGCCAGAGTGCGGGTAGTCGCGGAAGATGGCCCTGATCGCAGGCCAGGCCTAGGGAACGTACCTGCGCATGAATTTCATGTGCCGGGCCTCTAGTAATAATAACAGCAGCAGCAACACTTGCTGAGTCCCAAGAATGTGGCAACTGCTCTGTTGGGCCCTTCATATACATTCTCTCTGATGGGTAGCGAGCCCCACAGGCTGATATTATAACTGCTTTACAGAGGCTCAGGGAGACTTCCACTGAAGGCCACCCAGCTGACATGTGTTGAAGCCAGGATTTCATTCATGTTCTCTTCATTCATTGATCGGATATTTGACTACCTGTTTA